CACCCCCATACCTGCACCCCCATACCTGCACCCCCATACCTGCACACCCATACCTGCACACCTATGCCCACGGCCCCCATACCTCTATGCCCACACCACCATATGCCCACATCCCTATGACCACCCCTGCTTTGCCCACACCCGCTGTGCCCCACCCCCACACTCCATGCACTCAGCAGAATAGAGCACGTCCTGCTCCTGATGTCTGAGGCCTCGGTCCCGTCTACTCCAGGCCATGGTCAGTGTGTGCTGGCTGACACAGGGGGCACACAGCTAAAGCCCAGGCCTCTGTGGGAAGAAGATGAGGTCCGCTCCTGTAAGGCCTTCGGGACCACGTGGGGTGATCCTGCCCAGTCCTGAGGGCCACAGGGAGCGGACTCCACTGACCGCAGAGGGTTAGCCACAGCCTGCTGGTGGTAAGGAGCTGTGCTGCAATCCCAAAGGCACATGGTTCGAATCCACCACCTGCTCTGCAGAAGGATGGACAGTCTGGTCCCGTGCGATTTACTGCCTCTGAAAATGCACCAGAGGGTCGGCTGTGAGGGGGCTCCGACTAGAGAGCACACAACCACCACCACCATGCAAACGCTGCCCTCACCTGCTGACTGCAAAGAGGGCCCGGAGCCCACCCAGCACCTGCAGACCGTGTCCCCTCGCGGGCACTCGAGTCAGGACCCCAGGGCAGCAGGCTGGCCTTCAGTGTTTCTAATCACAGGCCCACTGATGACTTAGTGCTAAGGAATCGCGCTACCAATGCAAAGGTACATGGTTCGAATCCACCCACTGCTCCGTGGGAGACGGATGGATAGTTAACTCCTGTGTGATTAACTGCTTTTGAAAACCCCCCACCGGATCAGCTATGGGTCAGCTCCGACTCGACGGAGCGTAACACACAGCCACACAGCAATCACGCGCCCATGCCTGTCTTCCAAGGCCGAAGCTCACATGCAGAAGCTCGCTCTCTGTGCAAGGCAGTGATGGGCCAAGGGAGAGGGACCCCGCCCTGTGCCCTCAGGGGGCTGTGCAGCTCCATGGGCCTCCATTCAGCCCCTCACTCCCACAGATGACTGATGCTGTGTGCAGAGTGGCTCACCCACACCGCAAACCCCCACTGCTGTGAAGCCAGTTCCGACTTACAGAGAGACCCTCGGGGACAGACCCTCCATCAGGGTCCTTGCAGGAGGAGACTGCTCGTCTTTCTACAGTACAGCTGCTGGTGGATTCGAACCACTTAACCTATTCAGTTTGGCAATGGAACACACTATGTACTACACTACAAATGCCCCTTCACAAAGAGACTGAGTCCCCAAGCCCTCCTCCCACTTGCCCTGGGTGTGGGGCTCCTTTCACACCCTGGGGCTGTGGCTCAGGTCCCCTTCTCTTTGTACCCCCAGAACATCCATGGCCTCCTGGACGTGGGACTGGCCGCTGTCCGCACCCTGCACAGCCAGGACATCTTCCCCATCATCCTCCACGTCCCCACCAACGAGAAGACCGCCAAGAGGCTCAAGTAGGTGTCCCCTGCCCCACCCAGTGGACGTGGGGCAGGCCCTAAAGGGCCCTCATGGGTCTTGGGGTGTAATAATGTTTCCAGGAATTCCACCAGGACCCTGGAGCTCCCACAGGGCAGTTACCCATTCACTCCCAGGGAGCAGCCCAGCTGGGGGACACACCCAGTGCACCCTAGCTTTTGTGGTTGCACTTCCCCCAATGCATGTGACTAAGAGGTCAGCTGAGGGCCAGAGTGGTCACTTCTGGGAAACCCAAGACATCCTGCCTCCCTTGGTCCTAAAGTGGCCCCGTCCTCCCATCAGCAGATTGTCACATGGGGCCCAGCTGACACACTGGCTCAGCGGAGCTCTGATCTTGAGGCCTCTGTCCATGGAGACAGAGGCGTGTGGCCCCGCCACGACAGTGTGTGCCCTCTGGCCCAGTGTGGTGGCCACCTGCCCGGCCCCGTCCTCTGAGCCCGCCTGCTCCCACACAGGAAGGCCCTACAGAAGCTCGGTGTCTCCGAGGAACAGCTGCTGGAGGCGGCCCGCCGTGAGGAGGCGGACCTGGACACGGTGCCCAGTCTCTACAGCAGCCTGGCCCCTGACGGCTGGAGTGACCTGGATGCCCTGCTTGGGTGTGTCCATGCGGCCATCACGGATGCACAGAAGAAGATTGTGTGGACGGAGCAGAAGCCCCGGTGACACTGTGAGTCTAGTCCACATGCAGGCCCCACCGTGGGCTCAGGGTCCAGCAGAGGGCAGGCTCCACCATGGGGTGCCGACCCCACAGCCCCTCTCTGTTGGAGCTGACCTTGGACTCTCACGGTGCTGTGCCCACAGGGCAGCCCCTCCATCTGCCCTAGTTCCGTGGGAGCCACGTGCACCCTTCAGGGACTGCCCAGACTGGAGAGCTGGGGGCCACACTGGCTATGATGTCTGCCCAGGACCGGTGACCCAGACATGTCCAGGGACATCTGCCTTCCTACCACCATGGGCCAGTGAAGGCCGCCCCTCATCTCCCGTCTCAGCACCAGACAGTCGTGTGCGCACAGGCTTCCAGTGGGACCGGGACAGACGGACCCATCTGGCAGCGCGGCTGACTTCCTCAGTGTGTGATGTCTGGGAAATGCTTCCATGACTTTAGTGTACAGGGACTTCTTAGCAGCTGTGTGGCTCTGTGGTTACAGCATCAGCCGCTAACCAGAGGTGGCTAGTTCAAACCCACCAGCCTCCATGGGAGTGAGCCGAGGCCATGCACTCCTGCAGAGACGCCCGCCTTACAGACCTGACGGGGCAGGTCGATGTGGGCTTCAGAATCAACCTGATGGTTCTGGGCTCTGCCTGCCTGCTGCAGGTCTATAACCTTGTTCCCTCAGAGATGGAAATAATGCGTGTAGTGGGTCTGTGTCTGAGTGTCAGCTCCTGGGGCCCCATTGGGGCCTGGAGACCCCTGGCTCAGAGACACCCTTAAATGCTAATCAGGTCCTCCTGCGCCCAAGACCATCTTCCCTCCTAGCTGCCCCTTGGCCCTCCTGAGGGGCATCCTTCTACCTGTATGACTCATGAGACCCTCACCCCCTGGCCTGTCCCTATCCCCTGGGACTCTCAGGGACTGAATGCTATTTTGACGGACCCCCCCCCCACACACACACACACGAAAAGAAGCTGCTCTAGAGTTGAGGCTGATATGGCCAAGTTCAGAAAATGCAACTATGTTTTTGCTAAAATAAAGCACTTTTATAAAACAGTGGCTTGCTGCCTTCCCCTCCCCCAGCATTGCTGATGGGAAGTGGAGGGTGGTGGGAGTCTACCCACTCTAGTGAGAGGCCTCATTTTTAGGGTTCCCCCGGATAAAGCATTGGCTGCCATGGTGGGTAGGTACAGAACGTTCCAGAAGAAATTGTGATCACAGACGCTGGCGCTTGTCCAAGCAGGGCTCAGTTGGAGACACTTTGTGTATCAATGGGGGTCTCTGAACTGGGGAACATTGGAGAGAAGACCGAGCTCTGTCCGTAACATCAGTCTCCACTTCGGGGAGGGGTCTCCGAAGGCGCAGTGGGTAGAACTGTGCTACCAGCCTCGAGGTGGTGCCTCTTGGTGGTTCGAATCCACCAGCTGCTCCAAGGGAGAAAGACGGGCTGTCTCTTCCCGGGATTTACCGCCTGGGATCCCGCTGAGGCATCAGCTCAGGGTCAGTTCTGACCAGATGACAGTGCGTGAGTCACATGGACCCTGTGGGGAACGAGTGGGCTACAAGAGGCTGGGGGCAAGAACTCGATCTAAGACCACAAGGAGCCAGAAAGGACAGTGAGCACCTCTCCAAGGTGTCAGGGACCCCAAGACCAAGCGCACCCAGGGCAGTCAGGTGGCTTCAGGCCCACAGTGACCCAGGGCAGGGGAATGAAGGCTGCCCCACGCGGCCCCCAAGGCTGGAACCACCAGCCATGCCCTCAGCAGGCAAGTGCTTAACCATGAGGCCACCAGGCTCAAGAGGAGAAGCTGGTGAGACACAGAGAGAGGGTTGCTACGTGAGCACAGTCGGGGCCAGGGCTGCGCCCCCCATCTGGCTACACTGCCAGCTGAAGGCTCAAAATACTTCGTCCCCAAGGGAACCCAGAAAACAAGACCCTGTGCCCTGAGCATCGGGCAGGACCCGGCCTCACACAGGCCACCCCTGGCCTCCTATGCTGGGACACACAGAGACTGAGGGACAGCAGTGTCCCTTCCTGAGGGGACATGGACGTGGCCAGACGCACGCTATACCTGGCTCTCCAAGTGTCACAGTGTCTTCCTTGCCCAGCGCCCGTCCCCGTGGGACCCCACGGGGTTGAGCTCAGCCCACTGAGGACGCTCAGAGCTCATTGTGGAGTGGCTGGCATTGCGGTGACAGTTTCTCCTCCAGAACCCCGTCGGGGGCGCACACCCAGGGGTCGTGGGTCTCCCACTGCCACTTGGCCAGCTGAGTCTTGAGTGTGTCCAGCAGCTGGGCATACCGAGGGTCGGTGGCCAGGTTGTGGGTCTCGTGGGGGTCCCGGCGGTGGTCATACAGCTCCCAGCGCGCGCGGTAGTAGTAACCGTGCAGGTCTTTGTACCAGCGGGTGGGCCGGCCGGCGCGCGTGCGGTTCAGCAGGTCCTGGAAGGTGGGCGACACGTAGAAGTCCTGGTCGACGGGGAAGGGCATCTTGAAGCCAAGGTTGTGCACCAGGCGGAAGCCCTGGTGCTGCACGGAGCGCATCGGGTAGGACATGGTGACCTCGTGCAGGCTCTGGCTGCCAAACGCGGTGGCCCAGGGGGGCTCAGAGTCCAGGGCCGGCAGGAGGGAGCGGCCGGTGAGCCGCACGGTCTTCGAGCCAAAGATGGCGTAGCTGGGGTAGGGGATGGAGAACCAGTCCAAGATGGTGGGGGTCAGATCTGAAAGAAAGCAGGGGTCTCAGCGTGAGCACCCCCACCCGGGCCTCATCCTTCAGAAGGGCTGATCTGAGGCCCTCGGAAAGAGGCCAGGGGCTGCGTCCCAACAGGGAGGGCCTGCTGTGACCCACACCTCATCACATTGTTTTTCGGGGGACACATGTACGGACTGAATGTTGTCCCCAAGTCCTAGCTGCTGGTCCCCAAGGAGTGTGACCTCACGTGGAATAAGGTCTCTGAGGACGTTACCCGTTAGCTGTTAATGCTCCTGCTCAGAGGAACTGACTGCGCTGCAGTCCACTGGGCTCCAGGGGACCCAGACAGAGCAGAGTGCCCCACAGGGCTTCGAAGGCTTTACACAACATTGCTGGTTCAGAGCCAGCAGCTGCTCTGTGAGAAGAAAACAGGCCGTCAGCTCCCACAAACGTTTACAGCTTCTGAATCCTGCGGACAAGTCTCTGCTCTGTCCTCGGGGTCACCAGGCATCTGTACTAGCCCGATGGCTGTGGGTCTGGGAGAGTAGAGAAGCCGTGGCCTGGAGGACAGGTCCCAGGCCGCATGTACAAGCTTCCCCTGTGAGATGGTGACATGCCCGTCCTCACTGAGGTGCAGGGTGAGAGCCTGACCAGTGGCATGAGGGGCCCCTTAGACCGGCCCCCAGAGATGCACGCACCGAGCAGGCTCACAACGGCCTCGCTGACCTGGCCCCAGCGGCGTGTGTGTTCCGGGGACGACAGCAGCAGGGGCTCTGCCACGCCTGGCCAGTACAGGTTGGTCCTGCCGCTGGGGAAGGGGACCCCGTTGTCGGACGTGAAGATGACCAGGGTCTCGTTCAGAACACCGGCTGCCCGCAGCTCCTCAAGCACAAGGCCGATCCCTGAGGAGGGGACAGTGTGGACTCCGTATGGACACGGCCAAGGTGTCAGAACACGTCGTGTGTCTCGGGACCCTCGACCCTCAAGTGCTCTGCTGTCCTCCCTGTCCCACCATCCTCCCGGCCCTGTTGTCCCTCCACCCCGTGACCCCTCTGACGGCTCCCACACGGCCTCCTGTATCGCTGCCCTCTCCACATCCTCCTGGTCATGATGCCCAGCCCTCCCTTCACCCCTCCTCCCTACCTCTTCTCCACCCGATCAGCTGATGTCCTCTTGGTCACCTGCCCACCATCCTCTTGGTCACCTGCCCACCGTCCCCTCAGTCACCCGCCCACAATCCTGCTGTCCTCTCGGTCACCCGCCCACCGTCCTCTCGGTCACCCGCCCACTGTCCTCTCGGTCACCCGCCCACTGTCCTCTCAGTCACGCGCCCACTGTCCTCTTGGTCACCCACCCACCGTCCCCTCAGTCACCCGCCCACCGTCCTCTCGGTCACCTGCCCACTGTCCCCTCAGTCATGCGCCCACCATCCTCTTGGTCACCTGCCCACCGTCCCCTCAGTCATGCGCCCACCGTCCTCTTGGTCACCCGCCCACCGTCCTGGCCGCTTCCCCACCCTGTCATGCTCCCCATCCTACGGCCTCTGCTTCATCCCTTCCTTCCTTCCTCTCCATGGTCTTCAGCACGCTCTCCGGGGTCCTCCACACCCATCACCCTGCCTGCCCTGCCATCCTCCCAATTTCCTCCCCCAACGTGAAGCCGCACCCTGCCCCAGGCAGCCTCACACCAGCCGCACCAACTCTCGCCAGGGCCTCTTGTCACCCTGCCCTGTGCTTCCGCCTGACACCCACAGCTGTACTGCCCCTGGGCTGGAAGAGAGGGCTCTGCCCACACCAGTCCCTCCACCGGTCCTCAGGAACCAACAGCCCCTACTCAGGTATGACCAAGGTATAACCCCTGCAGTGGGGTGCGTGGTGGCGCCCACCTTGGTCCATGCGGCCGATGGTGGTGTACTGTGCGGCCAGGTCGGCCCGGGCAGCTGGGGTGTCTGGGACAAAGTACGGTACCTGGGCAGAGCAGGTGTGGGGAGGACAAGGTGTGAGCAGTCTTAAAGGGGGTCCATCCCTGAGGCTGTGGGGACTGTGGGGGAGATGAAGGGCCAGCCTTCTTCCTGTGGCCTGGAACTGCTCCCTCCCCCACCTCCCTGACATTGAGGCAGGCTTCACATGGCCCCCCACTGGCCCCTCCACCAGTCCCCACTCCTCCATCAGCCCCCCAACTGGCCCCAAACCAGCCTCCCCCCACCGGCCCTGCACCGTTCCCATACCAGCATCCCACCCCTCCATGGGCCCCCCACCTTTCCACTGGCCCCTCCACCAGGTCCCCATCCCTTCACCAGTCCCCTCATGCCTCCACTGCCCGCCCCCGCAAGGCTGGGGGCTGTGACCTGGGGGGGGAGTGTCAAGGATCGCCATCATAGTACAGGCAGAGGGGGACTTGTCACCTGTACATCCTGGGGGTCATACGTCTGCGGAGTCCAGTCTGGGATGCGGCCCATGCCTCTCTCCCCATTGCCGAACTTCTCACAGAAGGGCCCATACTGGGGCTGGGAGTGGCCACAGCGGTGGGGGTCGTGGAAGGCCACATACAGGAAGAAGGGCCTGGGGGGGGCGGCCACCTGCAGGTGAGCACTCTGATGGGGGCCACACTTTGTTTCCCTGACTCCACCCCACACTAAGCCAGACCATGCGCTCCCACCGCCCCCTTTTTGCTGACCAGCCAGGGTCTAGTATCTGGAACCTTCTATGCTATCAGTCTGAGCCCTCTGAGAGTCCCACATGAAGCTGGGCTGACACGTCCAGGGCTGGTGAGTGGGCGAGGACAGGGTCAGCGCACCTGTCATCCTGAGACTGCAGGAACTTCCGAGCCAGCAGCTTGATCCGCGTGATGTTGCGTCCCACCTGGAGCACTGAGTCGTTCTCCTCCGTGTAGGCGAAGTCAAACGGGTACACCCCCTCGGGGCCCACGTGCTTCTTCCCAATGATGCCTGTGGTAGGGAGCACAGTGTCCGGGGCACCTGGGTACCCAGGTTCTAGGCCTGTCCAGCCACCCCAGGGCATCTGGAAACTGGGTCCTCACAACCCACAGCCCAGGTGGTGCTCAAGGCAGGTGACCTCAGGACAAGGCTCTCCCTGCACCTGGCTGGCTGGCTGGCCCGGGTGGGGTGGGAGGCCAGCCCTGGGTGCCCTCAGGCTCCTCACCTGTGCGGACACCGGCCTGGCTGAGCAGAAGCGGCAGACTCCGCACCTTGTCGAAGGAGCTGAAGTGGTGGACGTCCTGGTGCAGGCCATACATCCCGTTTTGGTGCTGCGGTAGGGAGTGCGGTGAGACGGTCCGCCTGGTCTGCCCACGTCCCCCAATTCAGCAGCTGGGCTCCCCCCACTCCATCTCTCCTGATTGGATGCCAGGGGACCAAACCCCACTGAGGTGTCCCTGCCCATGACAGAATGTCACTTTCTTCTCCCTGCACTTCCCAGCTTTTTCTTTCTGATCACACATGCTGGGTCTGCAGTGAGTCCCCCACCCCCACACAGTGACCTTAGAGGACAGGGCAGGATAGCCCTGAGGGCTCCTAGGCTGTCATCTTTGTGGGAGTCTGCTAGGGTCAAGCCACTGACCTTTGAGTTAATCCACTGCACCACCAGCAATCCAGTGGAAACACACCACCAGAGAGTGGAGTCCTATCCAGAGCTCCTCCTTTTTTTATGTTGTGAAAGAGAGGGCTGGCTACAAACCTAACCATACAAGGGCTAACGTGCTACAAAGTATAAACATATTAAACTGTAACATCCCACAAAGGACGTGCTGGCCAGCAATCATTCCCCAGATGCAGAAATGCTCAGGGGAGGAGGGGGGTGCAAAGCAGAAAGGCACCGTCCTGCTGGCTTCTACCTGAGGCCTCCACTGACCCCTGTGGACCACGGGCTGCTGGCTGCCGGGCATGGCCAGACTGTGGAGGCACCCACCTCAGGCCCGGCCCTGTCCTTCGCCCCCACCCACCCCCACCTGTGGCAGGCCGGTGAGGAGGCTGGCCCGGCTGGGAGAGCAGCTGCTGACGGAGGTGAAGGCATTGCGGAAGATGAGGCTGCGGTGGGCCAAGGCATCCAGGTGTGGGGTGGTGATGGCGCTGTTGTTGTAAGCCCCGCTCTCAAAGCCTCCATCGTCCGCTGAGGAGGTGAGCAGATAATGGGGGGGGGGGTGCCGGGGAATAGTGAGTGGCAGTGAGGGAGGCCTGGGACTCTGGTTACAGCTTGGGTCAGTGATACCTGTAAGGGTCTGGCACCTGGGCAGAAATGATACCTGGGGGCATGTGTCACCTTGACAGGTAAGGTACCTGGGTCAGCATGACGTCCACAGGCATTACACTCAGTTGAGTGTGACATTTAAGTAGGCATGGCAGCCAGGTGGACATGACGCCTGGCAGGTGTGACACCTGGGGGGTCTAACACCTGAGCAGTAAAGAACCTGGGTTAGAATCATACCCAGTGAGTATTACACCTGGGTATGACACTCGGTAAGCATGGTGCCTGAAGGGTATGACAGCTGGGTTAGAAGGACACCCAGCAAACACAGCACCTGGGGCGCACGGCAGCCAGGCAGGTGTGATTCCACCACAGCTGGTGCCCGTGTGAGCAGATGGTGACTGTGTGAGTGGACAAAGCACACTGCTGGGTACAGTCTGAGTCAGGTTCCAGGCAGGAGAGCGCAATGAGACCCGTCTGAGCATCTATTTGCCTGGCAAGCATGTGTCCTGCCGGTTCCCCACTCCACCTGGTGGCCAGGACTAGGCTGGGAATACTGTCCTCCCAATCCTGGGGGGGGGGGATGTCTCAGCACTTGGCTGTGGACATGACCAGTGCCCACATCCCCGCTTTGGGAGGGTCTGGACCCAACCAGGCCCAGCAGGACCTGTTCAGTGCAGGCTGGGAGCGGAGAAACCCCAGCGGGGGTGAGTGGGGTGGGGGTAGGGGGGTGTGTTTGTGTCCCGATTAAGCGGAACCTCCACGCAGAGACCACAGCATGAGGTTTGCTAATCACCAAGTGTGCGCCTGGCTCGGCGCCAGACCTCAGAACAGGAAAGAATCGGGTGTCTGGAGCAGATGGTCGGCCACTAAACCGGAAGTCCCATGAGCAGGGGTGCTGAGGAACCTGGGGTTCTGGGGGCTTTGGGGAGTGGGTGGACTGGGGGCTATGGGGTGGTCAGGAGGATAGAGCATTGAAAGAGTGTTCAGGGATGTGACTAGAGACAGCAGACTGGGGGGGCCACCATCAGTGGAACTGGAGAGGAGTACCCCAGTCACGTCTGGAAACTTGGAGATCAGACGCCTGGTGGCTCTGCCTCTGGCCGTGTGGGCCCCACAGTGACCCTGGTCGCCCTGGATGAGGGTAGGAGGTCCAGGTCAGGGCGGGCCGTGGGGGCTGCAGGACTGAGATGTGCACCGGCCGTCCACGGGACGGGGGGACCACGTTAGCGTAAAGGACAGAGCGGTGGAGGCCAGCGCAGGGGACACTCACCGAGAATGAGCAGCACATTCCGAGCGCGCGCCCCGGGCACCAGGGACAGCCCCAGGACGAGCAGGAGGACGCAAAAGGCGGACCCCAGGCCTCGCATGGTGGCCGCGGCCGGAGACTCCACGGCTGCCCCGGGCCAGGCCCCGCCCCGTCACGTGGACGCCTGCCCCGCCCCCTCCGGGTCCCGCCTCGTCCCCTCCCCCTCGGATCCTGCGGGCCAGGCAGAGGCTCCGCGGGGAGACCCCGAGCTGGGGTGGCGGGTGAGTGCGCGGCAGGCGGTGAGGAGCACTCGGGCCGGGGGTGGGCGGGCTGCGAGGGGCCCAGGGGGTTGTCAGGCACCCAGGAATCCAGGGGACGACGAGGGACCGACGGGTCTTGGGGACGGCCAGCGACAGAGGATCCCAAAGGATAGTCAGGGACCAAGGGGTCTGGGGCGAGCCGGGGAAGCGGGATGCAGGGGGCGCGGGATGCAGGGTCCGGGGGGCGTCTCTCGCGCCTCTCCTCCGATGTCCGCACCGGGACTCTCTCGGGGGATGGCAGTGTGGGGGGTCTGGAAACCCCTGTGTACTGTGGTGGGGTGAGTGCCTGGACCCCACGGAGGCCGCGAGTGAATCTTGCAGAACTTCCTCGAACGAACGTCAGGTGGTCAGGTGGGAATGCAGCAGGTGGGGCGGTGCGCACCCCCAGGTGTGGCCCGCAGGGCGCTGCGTGCAAGGGGGACACTTGAACTCAAGAAGCCTCTCTGTCCCCAACCTCCCGCCACGGAGGCTGGGGTGGCGGGGTGAGAGAAAGGGTGACGAGGGGGGTGGTCCTCAAAGACTAGGGAGCCTCGAACCTGGCGGGAGAGATGTTTCTTCACCACACTGACATATTTATAAACAAAGCACCTGGGGAAAGGGCAAAAGCCCAAAAAGCAATTCTCCTCGGTAGAGAAATGTTGAGTCGAATTAGTCTTTCCAGTAACATCCTTTAGAGGATTTTGGGGTGGCTGTTTGGGCAGGCTGGGCGTTCTGAGACCACCTGCCACCCCCCTCGCAGCAGCAGGACCCTGGGATTGAGTTCAACCGGGTGGGACCCCAGGACCCTCCTGATGCCCAGCACCTAGCCCCTGACCCCATGCTCATCTCGCCCACAGTGCTCCTCAGTGGGGACTCTGGCATGGCAGGGCCAGCGTCCTGCTGCTCCGTGGCCACCCTGCGAAGATGGCTGCCCATCCTGTCGTGGCTCCCCCACTACTCCGGTCAGTGGTTGAAGATGGATCTCATTGCCGGGCTGTCAGTCGGGCTCATGGTCATTCCTCAGGCACTGGCTTATGCCGAGGTGGCTGGACTCCCACCTCAGGTGAGCACCCCCACAGCCCGGTCACGTCGCAGCTCACTTCTCCAGGTGGGGTGCACTGCAGGCGTCTCACCCCAGGGCTCACAGCCTGGGAGGGAATCACCTGTGGGCAGCCTGGCAGCCCTCTCGGCTGTATCCCTCACCCAGGCCAGGAGCTGTCCTACTGTCCCACTGGGGTGGGCAGAACCCAGCGCCCTCAGGACACAATGGACTGTCAGGCCCAGACACAGCACCAGTGCTGGCCACTGGCCACAGCCCCCAGACCCAGATGGGTAGGAGGAGAGGAGAGACCCGTGGTCACTTTCGGTCCCACACAGATAACAGGATACATGGCGGAGCACTGGGCCTGGCATAGCCACCACAGGACCCTCAGGACCTCTCCTGTGCCTGGCCTCCCGGCTGCTCTCTCTCCTCCCACAGTACGGCCTTTACTCAGCCTTCATGGGGTGCTTTGTGTACTTGGTCCTGGGCACCTCCCGCGATGTGACCCTGGGCCCCACTGCCATCATGTCCCTCCTGGTCTCCTTCTACACCTTCCACAAGCCTGCCTATGCCGTGCTGCTGGCCTTCCTGTCCGGCTGTGTCCAGCTAGCCATGGGCTTTCTGCAGCTTGGTAAGTCACCACTGAGGTGTGAGGGGGTTCTGGGGGGCACCGAGGCCCTTGGATCCTGGGGTGCCCTCGGCCTTAGCACTCCTTTGTGCACTTTGTGTCTCTAGCCTTGGTCCCCACCACTCTCTGGGGACAGTCTCAGCAGGATGTCTCATTGGCCAGTTCTTAGCCACAGCCTCTGTCCCCCAATCCTGCCCACGCCACCTTACCCAGCCACAGCTTCCCTGGGTCCTGTGGGCCAGGAGGAGCTGAGGACCAGCTCTCTGTCTGTACGTTCCCTCCCCTGGCTGACCAGGCTTCCTTCTGGACTTCATTTCCTGCCCGGTCATCAGAGGCTTCACCTCTGCCGCCTCTGTCACCATTGCCTTTGGACAGATCAAGGTAGGCATGCTGCCCGTGGCCACTGTGGCCTGGAATGGGGGTACCTGCTGGTTTGCAAGACTAAGGCCATGGCCTGGGGCTTAGAGGCCAGAAGAGGTCTGTTTGAGTTATACCCATCCTCCGAGGAGCTCACTAACAACCAAAATCAATGAACTATTTCAGAAACAGCTTCTAACACGGACCCTTCTCAGAGACACTGAGCAATGGAGGAGGGTTTTAGGGTGGGTAATTTGGGCAGCCAGCAATTAATTACTTTACAGTTCTCCTGGCAGTGTGCCTGGTGTGGATGCCTGTAGCCTGTACCACCCACGCTGCCAGGGCCTCCAAGGGCAGCCGACTTCACACGCTGCTTCAGTAGCTGGTCCCATTTCACTACTGTTTCTGGTTTCTGTGTAGTTAACTTTCAAAAGCTGTGGGTTCCATGTTGCTCTTTCACCTGTAAGAGTACTAAAATCAGGCTGGCTGACCGCTGCTCCGTTGCTGGGTTGGTATGGAGCACAGCATGCCCTGTTCAGGGTCTCTAAATGGTGCAGAGAAGGAGCCTGTCAACGCCTTGTGGCCGTTGTAGGTAGACTGGGGCCACACCCTGCCCAGGACCTGCTGTCTCCAGGGGCCTCTTCCTGGCGTGGCTCCCAGGCTTAGGCCTCCAGGCCTCTCTGGAAGTCTCTGCTGGAGGGCAGGAGAGTGCAGCTCTCCCTCCCTGCTGGGTCCCCCACCCCCACCCCCTACTCTGTCTTCTAGGCTGTCAGGGATTTGGAGGCCCCATCACGAGGGCTTGGCAACCGCAGCTCCGTGGAGGGTCTGGCTTCCATTCGCAAATGTTGTTATGTGCCCTCAGTCGCTTGCGCTTGTGATCCTCTGTACAATAGCCCTGAACCCTGCTCTATCCTGTGCCAACCTTTTTGTCTCTGACACACCTACCCGCATTACCCCGTCACTAAGTCAGTCCATTCTGAAGGTCTTGCGCTATCCCTCAACCCTTCCAAGCATAATGTCCCTCTCCTAGGACTGGTCCCTCCTTGCAGCATGCTCAGAGTAGGTCTGTGTTTAATGCCAAGAATGTGCTTTTGCACACGCGACCCAGTGGGTGGGATTCGCTCTTGCAAGCCAGACTCTCCATGTAGACGCGGGGCTGGGTCAGCAATGCACCCACACGGCGGCGGGGGGGGGGGACCCCTGAGGCCTGGGGATGGTGATCAGGGGTGTGTCCAGGCCCCACTGGGCTTTGTGGGCAGTGGATCTGGCTTCTTGGAGCTTGACTCCCTCCTCCCCACCCCATTCTGGGCCTCGATTTCCCCTTTGATTCTCTGGGGTCACAGCGCCGAGGGGGGGCCCCAGGTACCCCTTTGCAGGGATTGCCTGAAGCCCAGCCACCACTCAGCGTGATTTTTCCTTCCGGTAGGGGGCGGGATCCATCGTGTTGTCAAGTGATGGGCGAGCCAATGGTAGCTAGGATCCTGCGGTAGGGGCGGGCTGACTGCGAATGATAGACGCGACTTCGAGCCAGTGGTAGACGGGACCCTCTGGTCGGGGGCGGGGAACTACGAGTGACAGACATGGTCTCGAACCAATGATAGTGGGACCTGTGCAGTGTGGGCGGGCTGTGTTACCCTGGGCTTCCCTGCTCTACCGAGTCATGTTTCTGAAAATCAAAATGACCAACCACTATATGGAGAAGTCAAATATGTTATAGACTAAGCTCTTACACTTGTAACTATCTGGTTCTGGTCTTGTATTACTTTGTCATGGATCAGCCTGTACCCTATGCAAATACTTCTTTATTTTCTTGACTAAGGGTCATTAAAATCTTCAAACTTTTTCTTTTGTTGAAATTCTAAAAAAAAAAAAATCAAAACGACTTAGCAAAACGTGTCATTGACCTCAGAGGCATCTGGGACAAGGAGGTGGGGTCCCCAGGAGGAGTCCACCCGGGTACAGCTTCCTGGGTGGTGAAGCGAGGCTCTGGGTTTTCAGTTGAGGGGCCTCTGTTCACTTTGTCTGACCAGAACCTCCTGGGACTGCGCAACATCCCCCGGCAGTTCTTCCTGCAGGTGTATTACACCTTCGCCAAGATCGGGGAGACCAGGTACACCCCCCGAGACCACACCCCACACACACTCCCCCATGTGCTGCACCCACACCAGAGCTGCTTCCTTTCAGACCTCTCCACCCCGCTCCCACCCCCAAGCTAGCACTGGCCAGGCGGCTCCAGCCCACATTGACCTTCTAGGACCAAGCACACCTGCCCCGTGGGGCTGCAGAGACTCATCTAGAGACTCTGGTGGCTGGTGAGTACGGAATTGCACTGCCGAGTGGTTCGAATCTACTAGGTGCTGCGTGGGAGAAAGACAGGGTTCTTTCCGTGCAATTTATGTCTCTGAAAACCCTCTAGAGGGTCAGCTGGGGGTGGTTCTAACCTCACAGCACATAACATCCTCACACAATCAGGTTGGCTGGCAGGCTCCAACCTTAGCAACTGAATGCTTGGCTGCTGCACCACTTGGATGCTTTCTGTAAAGACAACCGCCTTGGAGACCCAGTGGGGTGGCCTTGCTCTGGCCTGCAGATCACCGGGTGTCAGGGTGAACTTGAAACCAGGGAGGGAAGCCCTGCTGTGTCGGGGACTCACAGTCTGTCCATTTCCACTGAAAAGTATATTTTCCATTTAGGGGAAATATTAAAAAAAAAAAAGAAAGCAGATAAAAATGTATGTGTCGTTTGCTGCATACGGTTATTTGGAACCTGCTCAGTGGCCCCTCCGGTGGGTCTTTTACTATTTTTTGTTGCTGTTGTTCTAGTAGGTGTTCAGAGGCAGTAATTGCAGACTGCCCATCTTTCTCTCGTGAGGCAGCTGGTGGATTCAAACTACATACTTTTGGGTTGGCAGTGTAATACCTCACCCCTGAGCCACCAGAGTTCCTCCTCCCACCCACAAAACGTATATGGATGATAGAGACAGACACACGTACCTTGTGTTGCAGAGGGAGGAGATGGGAATAAGCTGCAGGAGCTGAGGGTGGCAGGGAGAGTGACAGGAGAGGTAGAGGCAGCCACCAGTCCTCAAGGATCGTCACCAACCAAAGGGGCCTCAGTGGCACAGTCCATGAGCTGAAGCCATGAGTCAGCACCACTGCTCCGCGGTGATGGGGCCTCAGCTGCCAGGCCTGCACTGACTGTTTCCGAGTTACCTCTTGTGTTTCTAACAGGAAGTGAAATAGAAGGGCAGGGGCAGAGGCAGTGGCCGGGGCAGAGTCGGGGTGGGGTGGGCCAGCAGACAGCGTCTCTGGCGGGGCGGTGCTCACACAATCCATCTGCAGGGTCGGGGATGCTGTGCTGGGGCTGGTCTGCATGGTGCTGCTCCAGGTGCTGACGCTGATGAAGAACCACATGCCTCCTGTCTATCCCGAGCTGCCCCTAGGAGTGCGGCTCAGCCATGGGCTCATCTGGACCGCCACGACAGGTGAGGCCGGTGAGGCAGGTGAGGCAGGTGAGGGGCCTTCGGGCTGTGGGCTGGTCCTATGGTGTCCTGCTTACCTGGACTGAGCCTTGCCACTGGGGAGTCCTGTGTCCCCCCAAGAGAGGCTGGTGGAATTGAGCTGAGGACCCTCTCAGGTGCTGAGATGGATAACTCACTTGGAGAACACTGGTGGCTCAGTGGTAGAGTTCTTGCCTTTTGCATGGGAGACCCAAGTTCAGTTCCCAGCCAGTGCACCTCGTGAGCTGCCCCCACACCTGTCGGTGGGAGCGTGCTCAGCTGGGGTGCTGAGCAGGTTTCCATGGAGCCTCCAGGCTTAGATTTTATTCTAAACACCAGCCCATGGACCAACGGTCAAGGTGGGGGTGGTGCAGGCCCCTCTCTGTGCTCAGGGTCACGGTTAGTGGGGGCCACTTCCCCTGCTCACGGCCCTCATGCGCTCTCAGGTGCAGCTGAGCTTGCAGGCCCTGGGCCGCATGGGTCCAGCCAGGTCCAGCCAGGGGACGTGGGCCAGTGTACTGGTTGTCGCACTCTGGAAGGTGTTACTACAGCTTCACAGTGGGCGGGACCCAGGGATGGTGCTGGGCACCCTGCAGTGAGCGGGACAACAAACCCCCGAGGCTGGCCCCACCCCAAATGTCACCAATGCCAAGACTTTGACTCCTGGGCTCCAGGAGCTCCCTGAGGGAATCCAGTTTCCAGCTGCTTTTGTTTGTGTTGTGCACCTGCAGGGTGTTTAGGTGTGAGATAAAGAGGTAACAGGTAATGACAAGATCCACAGTGAGGCTGTAGCCAGGCTGCAGGGCAGGCATAAGTGTGGCCAAGGGTTCACAGAAGGGACCTCTCGGGCTCTGGGGACTCTGCTGAGGTGGACACGGTGCCCCCCCAGTTTTGTGGTCAGGGAACACACTGAGAACACTTTAATTTCTGTTCTAATAACCTTGGCTGCTAATTCTGCTGTCCGTGTCCTTTCTCCTCCGTGGTGATGTGTTTTCCTCTTTGTTGTGGGACGTGTTTTCCAGTGTGTGTGGGTCTGGTGAGATTTCTTGAATGCTGGACGTTTAGTACCTGTGTTCTTAGTGTGGCTGTCCTGGACCACCCTGGGCACAGTGTGCGTGGCCACGTGTAGTAGTAGACAAGTGTCTGGCTTTGAACTTGGCTGCGTGTGCTGGAGTGGGCTGTCGCTGACACGGTCCTTTCTCTGTTCTAGCAAAAAATGCCCTGGTGGTCTCCTTTGCTGCCCTGGTCGCCTACTCCTTTGAAGTGAATGGGTACCATCCCTTTGTTCTGACTGGGGAGATAGTGGAGGGACTGCCCCGCGTCCAGCTCCCGCCGTTCTCAGTCACCACTGCCAACAGGACAGTCTCCTTCACTGAGATGGTCCAGGTAGGCCGAGGCGGGGGGCATCTGCCCAGTGAGGAGTGGTTTGGGTCCTGGTAGATGCTGAGCCCTCAGGAAAGGGTGTATCAGGTACCAGGACAGCTAACCAACGTTGAAAGCGTGATCAGACCCTCCTGGGGCCATCACATTTGTGTTCTGGTTGTCCACAGTTGGCTCCAAGTCACGTGACTGTGACCCATAGGGCTTCTGAGGTTGGTGTTTGGAAAGGAGGTTGCCAGGCCTTTCCTCCATGCACCTCTGGGTGGGCTCTCACCTCCAGCCTTCTAGTTTGCTGAGCGTGTGAACCGAGCACGTGACCCGCAGGCACCAGCAGAAAGTGAGTTTGTCATGGGGTTTAGTAATCCCACTTCTAGTAGGAGGTGGTCCCGTGGCGTGTAAGCTCAGGTTCCTGAAGTTGAAGGTCGTCAATTAGGAGCTGGTTCCGCCTTGGAGAGGGGTCACTGCTCAGCCACCACCACGTGAGCCTCTGGATCATAGAATAAAAGCATCCCTTTCCCCCCAGGACCTAGGGGCCGGGCTGGCCGTGGTTCCCCTGATGGGCCTGCTGGAGAGCATCGCGGTGGCCAAGGCCTTCGGTAAGAAGTCCGCCCCACCGCCACCCAGGGGGCTTGTCCTGAGGGCTCTCTGCTTCGCTTGTTATATATTTTCCTCTTTGCATTTCCTGCTTGAATTTTAGAAACTGGCATTTTCATCCCAGCAGTCCACGCCTATTCTTTCTTTAAAATCAGCAGTAAAGCTCACTCTGTTAAGAAAAAGCCCCACCCCACTGTGGAACATTGTTGTTGTTTGTTGTTGTTATGTGCCGTCGAGTCACTTGCGACTCATAGCGACCCCGTGTACAACAGCCCTAAACTCCGTTCTGTCCTGTGCCAATCGCACTGTCTCTGACACTCCCATTCCAATTATCCCAGTGACTGAATCAATTCACCTCCTAGAGGGCCTTTCCCTCCTGCGCTGTCCCTCCACCCTCCCGAGCATGATGTCCTTTTCTAAGGACCGGTCTCTCCTCACAACATATCCAAAGTATGTTAGATGGAGCCTCAGAATCCTTGCCTCCAAGGAGCCGCCCGGTTTAACCCTTTCCAGGACAAATCTGTTTGTTTTCCTAGCAGTCCATGGTACCCTCAATACTCTTCTCCAGCACCTCAACTCAAAGGCATCAATTCTCCTTCTATCCTCCTTGGTCATTGTCCAACTCTCTGATGCATAACAAGTGATTGCGAAGACCGTGATCGTGGAACATTAGTGCTTGTAAATGGTCACCAGCTGGTGGCCTGGAGAGTCAGAGGCGGGTGGCTGAGCCTCTACCAGGCCGCATGCAGCAGGCAGGGAGCGGGAACCCTCTGAGCCACGAGACCCTGCTCTCCCCCACAGATGCCGTTAGACAAGAATGATCCCCCCGCAGTGGGGTAGTGAACGGAGTGAAGCGAGCCGGGATGCCCGAGTCTTCGGCAGCAGCTGGTTTTGATTGTAGTTGGTTTAAAAGGACACTTGGATTTGATTGGTAGTAACAGCTGTCTTTACTAAAAAGCTCTCAAAATTCCTGAAGTCACAGCAGTGCACTGTCCAGCTGCTTCCCCCGGCCACAGCAGCATGTCCCTAAACCTGAGAGACCACAACCCCAGCCACCTGCTGGCATTTCTGCAGCTCTGTTCTTCCTCATGATGCATACACACGTATGTGTGGACAGGGCATGCATGTCCGGAGCACCTGCCCATCACACACACACACGGACAGGGCATGTGTGAACAGAGCGCCTGCCAGTGACACACACACATACATACATACACACACGTGTGGACAGAGCATGCGTGTACAGATCACCTGCCCATCACACACACACACACACACACACACACGTGGACAGGGCATGTGTGTGCAGAGCACCTGCCCATCTCTCTCTCTCTCACACACACACACACGTGTGGACAGGGCATACGTGTGCAGAGCATCTGCCCTTGATACACACACACACACAGACAGGGCATGTGTGTACAAAGCACCTGCCTGTGTTGTGTGCGTGCACACACACACACACACACACACACACACACGTACGTACATGTGGACAGGGCATGCGTGTCCAGAGCACCCGTACACTTACACGCGAGGTCTGCGGTCTGTCGGCAGTGTCTTGTGCAGGGTCTTTTTCCACGAGTGGTTTCTTTGTGTCCCTGTGTAGCCAGTGACCATGCACCACTCTCTTCTCTCAGCGTCTCAGAATAACTACCACATCGACGCCAACCAGGAGCTGATGGCCATTGGTGAGTCTTGGGCTGCAGGTTCTCAGCCCTGTGGGCATGTCTGCATCTCAGTCATGTGGTATGTGGGTGCTATAGGCCAGAAGGGACATGGGTGTGCCCAAAGGTGATCCTCCTGGAACCTGAACCCCTCCTCAAGTCCCCAGGGGGCCGACATGGTGTCAGCTCTGTTGGCCACTGGTTAAGCACTGTGTGTGTGCCAGTGTCTGGGATGACCAGCCTATTCTGCCTCAGGGAGGGATCTTGGGGGCCTCATGGGTCCAAAACGTAGGAGTTCATCCAGATAGCATCTGCGACTGTGGACTGTGCCAGGTGGATCTGGGCGGCCGGGGGCCCAGCTGCCTGCATTTACAGCTCTCCCCACTTCCATGGGAAGAGCTGGAAGGTAGACATGCAGAGACAGATACGGGGGTTGGTAAAGAGATGGCGGCAGAGGCAGAGAGAGAAACCTGGAGAGAGTGGCAGAGAGAGCTAGAGAAAGAGACTTACAGAAACAGACGGTGAGAGATAATCAGAGAGGTACAGAGACCGAGAGACAGGCTCAGAGAGACAGGGTCAGAGAGCTAGTGACAGAACAGAGAGGCCAGGGCAGGGAGGGTGGGAAGGAGAGGGACAGTGGGCAGCCACCCTCCCCCGGGCTACCCCCTCAGACATTTCCACTCCTCACTTATCCCCTGCACCCACCCCTAGGCCTCACCAACTTGCTGGGCTCCTTTGTGGCCTCTTACCCTGTCACTGGCAGTTTTGGACGGTGAGTGGCCCTGCCCTTGTCCTCTGTGTCCAGGGTGTGGGGACAGCCCAGGTGAGACATCTCTGTCCAGCTCAGGCCCAGGCACGCCGCGAGGCCCTGTGCCCATACCTCAGCATCGTCCTTGTTCTCCAGCCATCAGACGGTGTCCTAGTGCCCCTCACCATATGTGGTCAGTGTGGCCACAGTGAGGGCTGGGGCAGGTGCAGCGGTGACCAGGTCACAGTGGCCTGGTTCTCGCCTGGGCAGGCCCTTGGGGAGGTGGGGGCAGGGGGCGTGGCAGCTCAGCCCCCGGGGCTTTGGGGTGCAGATCCATCTCCTGGGGAGTGGGGAGCCTGCTTAGCTGACGCCCCTGGGGCTCTGTCACTGTTGGTTCACCAGCAACGAGCAGCAACACCCTGATGGGGGTAAGCACGATGAGACACACCGCTCCAGGGAGGATCAGAGAGTCAATCCAGCTCAATTTTACTGGGGGCTGCAGCGCACTTATATACAAGCAAGTCAACAGGCAGCCAGGATAGGGTGGGCTTATAGACGTGGGACATGCGGCTTGGAGAGGAGAACCTCAGCTTCATGCAGACCACTCCCAGCTCAACAGCTGAGGCAGCCCTCTTCCCAGGTGGCGAGCTTTCTCAAGCTTGCACAGCCAAACACAGGGGAGCTTTCTCTACCCCGTATTAAAAGCCACTGGGAGGCTTGCACTTACCAGAGCTAGGTGATCTGTCCTGGCCAGAGGCCCTCCCTTCCTCCCTAACATTCCCCAACAGGGCTCACAACCAAGAGTGGCCACCTCAGGACTGCTGGCTGGAGACAGACCCTCTTGTCTTCCAGGACGGCCGTGAACTCCCAGTCAGGCGTGTGCACGCCAGCAGGCGGGCTGGTGACGGGTGAGTCCCATTGCTGCCCTTGGTCCTCAGAGGTTGTGGAGGAAAGGGCTTGAGTGTGGCCTGCCTCACCTGTGTCTCAGCTGGTCCACCTGGATCCCAGAGGTGTGGGGACAGAGCCCCGTTCCTGCCTGCAGGTCACCTGCCTCACCTCGTGGGCACCCGTTGGTCCCGTGGGGGCCGCCCTGACCCCTCCCCCTGCAGGTGACCTGCCCCACCTGGTGGGTATCTGTTGGTCTGGTGGGATCCACAGGCCTGGGAGCTGCCCTGACCCCCCCCCCCCGCAGGTGTGCTGGTACTTCTGGCCCTCAACTTCCTGACCGCCCTCTTCTACTACATCCCCAAGCCGGCCCTGGCCGCCGTGATCATCATGGCCGTGGTCCCGCTCTTCGACACCAAGATCTTGGGAACGCTCTGGCGAATCAAGAGTGCGTAGCCTGGGACACCCTACATGTCCTGTCCCTGTCCTGGGGTGCTAGGTGCTGGGAGTGTCTCCTGGAATGGACGCAGCTACGGATCACACGGGGTTGGGGGGGAGGGTTTAGAACAAGTGACTGCCTCCCAGTACTGGGGCCAGAGTCTGAATTTGGAGTGTCAGCTGGAGTCCACATTTGGCGTGCTCCCTTCAGAGTTGGCAGGGAGGATGTTCTGCCTCCCAGCCATCAGGGGTTCCCAGCTGGGCTGTGTGTAGCTGGCCTCCACCAGCATGAGGCCTTCTCCCTGGGACCTTGTGTCTACACCCCTCCTGCCTGTGCCTGCCCTGTCCAGGGCCCACTTTTCACACTCTTCTCCTTTGCATCCCAACCATGTGACTTCTGCAGAGTCCTTGTTTCTGGGGGAGGGCTCCAGCAGGTCTTTTTAGGGGACAGAGTTCAGCCCACATGACTCTGTGAACATGAGGATGGGGTCATAGTTGATCCCCAAGTCCTGTCACTCCTGAGCAAGGCGTGAACAGGTTAGCGCAGGATGGGCTGAAGGCTGGCGGAGGAGGGTGAGGGGTGCTGCTTTCAGTGGGTGGAGACTGGGGGCAGAGCAGTCTCATCCACCCTTGTTTCTGTGTGGGACCCTCATCCAGCCCCATGTGACCAAAGGAGTCTCTCCATACGTGTTCCCCACTCCGCCCCTCCTCTGCTCTGGGGACCACAAGCCTTTGGCTCTTTGAGAAGGGGGTGGGGGCGCAGCTGGGTCCAGCACAGCTGCGGGGGGGAGTTGGGGGTCCTGCACCAGCGGTTCCTTCTGTACCGGTTTTTTTTTTGGTGAGTTTTTTGTTTTGTTTTGTTTTGTTTTGTTTTTATGTGTGTGTATACCGTCAAATCAGATTTGACTGGTACAGGAGGAGATTTTTCCTCCTTCTTCAGCAAAGCATCTGGTGGATTTGAACCACCTATTTCTAGGATTGCAGTGCAGCTTCTTGCCACTAGGCCACCAGAGCTCGCCCTGTACTGGTTTTTGTCAGCTCTGATTTCTCCCTCAGTGCAGCTCCTGGGAGGAGAACACTTGTTCCCCAGGGTCTCTGCTTGCTGAGGGGGCCGCTTCACTTGCTGGGGGCATGCTCTACCCTCAAGGAAAACTGAGGCCCAGCAGGGCCCAGCATCTGTCTGGGTTAGCATGTGTCCAAGCTGACTGAAGTCCACCTGTCCCTCAGACCCTCTAGAATGCCGCTCCCGTGGTCAGGGAGGTGACATGTGTCCTGGGAGGGGTCTCATTCTCCCTGCTTCTTGGCCCCGGCCATGCCCCCCCCCCCATATGCAGTCAGAGAGGGTACAGGCCTCACGGCTCCTCACCTCTCACGGACCAGGGCTGGACCTGCTGCCCCTCTGTGTGACCTTCCTGCTCTGCTTCTGGGAGATGCAGTACGGCATCCTGGCAGGTGTGCTGGTGTCTGGGCTCATCCTCCTGCACGCCACGGCCAGGCCCAGTACCCAGGTATGCCATCACCCAGGCCGCTGGGGCGGGGACACGGGAGAC